AAAAAAAAAAAAAAAAAAAAAAAAAAAAAAAACGCGCAACTTAACCTGACTCATTTTAATTTTCCCCACAACACTCAACGCTTTTTCATACTATACATTTATTTAGCTTCTTCTTTTTCCCTCTCCACTAGCATGTATCTCCTCTGAGGAGCCAGAACTGCTTCATTTAATTCACTTAGCCTGCAGCTGAATCCTTGGGGTTTAGAATAATACCTGAGATACGGTGATAGCATTCTAACGGAAACACAGAACTAGCTATGGATCAAACCTTGCTCTAAGAGACCTTTGTATATTCTGTCATTTTATATGCAGGTCTATCTGATCAGAAGATGTTCTGTTTCTGAAGCAAAAAACCCAAACAAAACGTCTATAGCTTAAAATAGTTCCTCAGTGATAATTCTGCAAAAAGGCACGTATCACATTACAGCCAATACACTATACGTTTCATTTTATCCTCACATCGGTCCCATCAGGTAAATGTTATAATCTCATCATTTTACCTAGGAAGAAACTGAAGAATATAAAAAAATCATTATAGTCTAAAACAGTAATTACCATAATGCCTGATATACAAAAACTATGGGCCAAGTACTTTGCAGCCGGGGATTTAGTTCATCTGTGCTGCCGCCTGCCTCACAAGCACAAGGACCCGAGTTCCATCCCCAGTATATATATAAAAAAAATTAACTTTGCCAAAAGCTGAAGGGCACAAGGAAGTGCTGGGAGAGTTATGAGCATGGGGTTGGGTAGGGGAGCAAACACCAGAGAATGAAGAGTGGGCCAGTAGGACTACAGAATACTTACACGAACCCGGTTGATGCCTCCATAGTGGGGCACCATGGCCAGCTCCAGCTGAGGCTTCCGCTCTTCTTCATCCTCTTCATCTTCCTCCTCCTCCTCTTCATCACTGCCATCTGAGGGTGGGGACTTGGTCCCATGTAAATTGTGCATCCGAAGCATCATCAGTCTGGGGGGAGGTATTGGGTAAGTTGGGCAGTGGATGCCAAGATGCTTAGGGAGGCGGGAGACTGGGGGTGGGGTGAGGCAGATGCTGGCAGCCCTAATTCCTGGGCCCTGAGAACGGAGGTGGACTCCAGAAACTCAGACCCCTGGTTCTGGAAATGCCTTGGTTCTCACCTGTTGCTCTGAGCGCTCTCTGCTTGGGTTCCCGCACACAGGTAAAGTGTAAGAGGCAGCTCGGTCCTGTTGTCTCCCAGGTGATCTCGGACTATATCAAAGCTAAGACAGGGGGCGCCTGGGGATGGAAGGAGGGGGCGGGGAATGAGAGTTCCACAGAGAGATCTCCGTCTCCACCTCCCTCAGAAACCAGCTATTCGCAGGGTCACATCACCTTTCTCAGACCTCAGACTTCTCTTCCTGGGTACCTTTTACGTTAAAAGCTGAGCACCAGTCCCTTCCTTCCTAAGGACCTAGGAGTCTGGGCCCCCAAGCCTACCAGTCTGCGCACGGTGGTACAGCACATAGGCCTCCTCGTCCATAACGAGCTCCTCCCCTTCGCGCAGTGGCGGACCCCGGCCGGGTAGGTAGACCTGGGCCGAGCCCTCGGAATCTGCGTCGCGGGATTCGGTCTCCATGGGATCCCCGGCAGCACACGTGCGCCGCGGCCCCCTGTGGGCGGCCATCTTCGAACTCTCTCGCCGCCGGCGCGAGGTAAAAGCGTCACTTCCGGGTTATACCCCCTCCCACCTATAACCGGCTGTAAGATGCGGTTACCTTGGAAACTTCTGGCCCACCAATCAGAGAGGACAATACGGGAAAAGAAAGAGAATTTGGAGTTCTGGCCCAGCGAGAGAAGCCTACAGCTAGGGAAAAACTGTCTTCCGCGTGACCTTGGGGCGACCTTTCGCGTGGCAGTGGCAAGGGCTCCTGGGAGTTGTAGTTTTACAGGAAACCTGTCTCTCCCCCCATTAACGTTCCGAACCGTCTCCATCTTCCTCTATTTATTTATTTGTTTGTTTATTTATTTATTTATGGGGGATCGGGGATCGAACTCGGGACCTTGCACTTGCGAGGTAGGCAGTTCCATCTTCCTCTTTTGATTCCCAGGGCTATCTTGTCACTTAATTAATTATTCATGTATGTAAATTTGAGCACTTAACAGGCAGGGTGACTGGGTTTCTGCTCCCTTAGGACTCATAAAGCCAGTTTCTTCTCTCCCTGTTATGATGGCAAAATGCTTTAGGGTGGACAGGGTGGATATTATATGTTAGTCGTTGAATTTACCCTCTAGGGGCAGTCAAGTGCCTAACCAGGCGTTCACATGTCAGCTCTGGCCAGCGAGCGCTTAATCAGAAAGTCCACACTCTGGAGGCAGCGCTCACAAGCTCTGCAGCTCTCTTTATTGCCTATTGGCACCAGTGGTTTGGCTAATTGACGTAATGAAATGTTAGAAATAGTTCTCATTGGTAAGATTAATGGCATTCAGGCCGGCGATTGGCTGGGATGAGTCAGACACTGCCCTCGCTCGCATGAACAGAATGTTATGAATCAAGCAAGCCTCGAGAACTGTAGCCACGGGAAAGGCAACCCGAGATTCGATCCTAGAACGTTTTGTATCCCAGATCTTTCTCCCAGTCTTTTAGGATCTCTTTGCCTGGTCTCCTCTTGATCCCTCTCACCAGGTCTTTCTCCCATCTCCTTTCAGAGTTTCTTTTCTCTCTGTCTCCTGTTTCCCTGGGATACTTTTCTCAGTTTCTGTTTCCTCCAGAGAAGTTGAGGGAGGATAAAAGACAGACACAGAGCTCAGGCTTGGGTTGAGGAGGCATAAAAACATGGTTTATTCCAAACACTGCAATGTGGGACGGGATAGGGGCGGGGAAGGTCCGTGGTGAAGTGTGGGCTCCCAGATCCTCGCCTCCGCAACCAGCACCAGGCCCAGCTGGAGATCTGGGAAGAGGAAGCTTTTGGGGATCTGCTGGGTCATCACTGAAGGGTGACAAATTAAGGTTGGATTTGGAGGGGATGTGGTTGGGGACCAGGGCTGGATGGGAGGTGGGGAAGGGGTACGTTTAGGCTGAGGAAGGTTGGGATCAAAATGGGAGAGGATGAGAGGGGGTTTCTGTTGGGGACAGGTGCTAGGTCAAAGTAGGGAAAAGCCAACGAGGGTGGAAAAGGAGGGGGGTGTCACGGTTTGACATCTAGGGTCACAGTCTGGATGGGGCACAGTCTGGGGTCAGATGACCATTTTAGGTGTTGGAAGTCACAGTCTGGGGTCAGGGGTTTCTGTGTGGCGGGGCCAAGGTCTGGGGTCACAGTTTGGTGAACGCGTCTCACAGTTTTGAGTCCCGATGGATGAAAGGTTTAAAAACAGGGCTTCCCCGGAGGCGTGGCTGGGGCCGGGGAGCTGCACAGTGATGTGGGGGCCACGGCCCCGAGCGTGGGGGCGGGGCGGGGCGTGACCCTCCACCTGCCGCCCCCTCTGGTGACGTTAAAAAGCCCTTGTCGGGTTTTAAAAAAAGTCGGATGGGCTCCAAGACCCCCACCCGCCCCCTCGCTCTCTGGCTGTGTGAAATCTGGACGACCAGATCACCTCTGGCTCATGATCCCCCCAACGTGAGGGGGCGCAGGACGCTGCTCCAGGCGGGGTACGGCCAGTTGCGTGTGGTTCCTCCTCAACCCACGCGGGTCCAGTCCACTGCGCGCGCCCCCTCGGGCTGTGGCCTGCGCGGACCGAAGGGACGGCGGGCCCCCCCAGGCCGCGTCATACCTCGGATTCGAGGCTAGA